AATCAAAATAATAGATATTTATCAAATATTATTTATTATTTAGCCCATTCGAGATAATTTTGTTGTTGTTGTTATTATTATTATTATTATTATTATTATTATTATTATTATTATTATTATTATTATTATAGTTGGACGAATTTAGATTTAGATATAAATTTGAAATTTAACATTTTTCTCTTTATTTTTATTTCTAAAATTAAACTTAAAAACACGCCTTCCATAAATCTATTTCTATGATTTGTCATTAATTCACTTTTTTAAAGCATTTTACAAATCTAAATTATTTTTGAAAACTAAAAAAATATTTTTGAAAAATTTGCTTTTATTTTTAAAGATCGACAAACAGTCCAAATAAATTTATAAAAATTATGAAATTTTTATCAAAGAAATTGTAAGAAACCAAGCATAAATTTTAAAAATTAAAACTAAAAACAAAATTGTTATTCAATGTTGTCTAACTATCTAAATGCGAGCAGTTTAATAAGCCAAAGTTTTACAAATAAATAAGATGGAGAAAACATATGTATGTATGTATGTCTGTATATATATATTTTAGTATAACTTGGAGATATGAGGAGATCGAACCTCCGTTCTCGAAAGGAGTACATGTCAATTACTACTAAACTATGCTCATGTTAGCTATATGTAAATACATGTCAATTACTACTAAACTATGCTCATGTTGACTATATGTAAATACATGTCAATTACTACCAAACTATGCTCATGTTGGCAATATGTAAATATTATTATCAAGGAAGTTAGTTGCTTCAATTAGTTAAATAGAAGGGCTTTTTTCTTTTTGAGATAAATAAGGGCTTTTAATATGAGAATAGAGCACTTATACAAACGTTGTAAGGTTAGACTGTGAGATTAGTCGAAGTGTACGTAAACTGACTTGAAAACTCACATATTTCAAAAAAACAAAAAAATTAATTAAACAAAAAAAATATTTATTATAAATTCTAAATCAATTAATAAACACAGTTTTAATAAACTTAACTTTAACAAAATAACATCCAAAGTTTAACAAAATAACATCAAGTTTAACAAACCCACACTTAACCATCCTAATTTCTACCCAACTAAACACATGCTTTACAAACTCAGATTTAACAAACTTATTTTCTTCACAACCAAACACAGACTTAACAATTCATAAACTTAGGTTTAACAAACCTGCAAACCAAACACCCCTAAATTATTTGATAAGGTACAAAAAAAAAAGTCATAGGATAACTATTAGTAGGTCATGTGAAATACTAACCCATCTGCGATAAGTAGGTAGAGCCAAACAACCAAGATGGGGCAACCTAGGAAAGTCCTACTAAAAGAGGCTAAGCTAACAATCTAAGAAAGACCTACTCACTTGAGCAAGAAAACCTCACTAGAAGACTTATTGAGAAAGTGTGATACCCAAGTAGATAGGGGTATATGAATGAACTGATACCATATTTAAATGAGAGGAATCTTGAGATCACAGAAACATGGTTAAAAAATGCTTAAAATAATTAATAGTCACTACTTACACTAACAAACTGCACTTTTCTTTTCCATAGCTCAATCATAAGAACTCCAAAGTTAAACATGCTTAACTTGAAGCAATCTTGAATTGGGTGACCTCCTATAGCATTTTCTACCGCAAGAGGGAAATAGCCTAAATCACTTGCTAAGGCCCCCAAATGACCACTCGGTGATAAAAGAGATAAAGGAGATAAGAGTGCAAAGACAGCCAGGAAGTTTGCTTAAAAGCAGCCACCCTTTAAAGAATGCGTAATAGCTCACTAATTGAGCACTCTTACACCAAAGATGAATGCAACCAAGCGATCTACCAAAGCTATGGGATGTAAAAATGAATCGGTAGGAAGCCACCCTTAAAAGAGTGCATAATAGCTCACGCCGAAGCTATGAGATGTAAAAATGCATCGATAGAAAGCATTCCTAAGTAGCTCAAATAAAGACAATGATGCAACTAAGTTGCAGGGAATGCAATAAATGCTAGAACAATTAGGTGCCAAATCCATATTCTAAATCCTACTCCGAATCCTGAGCCTTGAACGTTATAGGAAGACTTGTACTCTTCTACATAGATAGGTCATATTTGCTAAGTAGGTAGGTCATACTTCAAATGAGCGCACCTATGTTAAGAAACCCTTGAGAGTTGGATCTAAGAACCTTGCTAACGAACAAGACTCATAGAACTCAATCCCAAAAACCCCGAAAACAAGTATGGAATCAACCCAAGGAAAAGTTTTAGAACGGATTACCTTGATGATCAATATCAAGAGT